CAGTAATTAATTCCAACCTACGAATGGTAAGTTTAACCAGCTCTAATGGATATACTCCAGCTCAGGTGCTTTTTATTTTCATGTTTCTTAACGCTTTTTTAACTCTACAAAGGCACATCTGGTGTGATGGAATTTACGTGCAGTGGTTCATATTTATTCCCTGAAATTTAGCTCAATTTTCTGTCAAAATTTTCATAGTATTTTTGCCATTTTTCAATACCAATTGGTCTACAATAAGTCATTCCTGGGTTGTATTCAATTCATGAATATAACTTTCCAATGACTCTCTGGATTTCGGTGTTAGCCAAATGCACTTGTCTAATCTGTCACATTTTGTCCCAGAATACATTTTTTGCCTTCTTCATTCTCTTGACCAAATTTTTCATTCTGTTGTATTCACTTCTGTCTTCTAAATCCTTTGTGAAAAGCCATCTTAAATATAACTTTTTCTTTTCTTCGACCAGGTTCTTTATATCTTCTGTCCACCACAAATCGTTTTGTTTATATTTACATTTTCCCTCCTCTCCCAAAGCTTTTTTAGCGGCTTCATGAGTGCATTTTTCTAAAAATTGGTATTTTTCTTCAGTATATGGGATGTACTTTAATTTTTCTTCCATGCGCAATTTGTACAAAATTGCAATGGAATCATCTTGAAGGCTCTCAATATTTAGGCCACATCTGACTCACTATTTTTCCACCTTTTGTACTTGGTTTTGTGTTTCCGTAACTTTTGAAGTATGGTTTATACATAAGGTAAGCTTTTCCTTTTAGTAGGTAGTGATCTGATCCACAGGAAGCACCTCTTTGAACCCGAACATCGCTCCACTTTATTGATGACTATTGTGTAGTAATTATGTAGTCAATTATTGATTACAATTTTCTAGTGGGTTGAGTCCACGTCAATTTTTGTATTTCTTTTTGTGGAAAATAGCCATTCAATATTTTAAGGTCATACAGTTCACATGTCTCTATAAGTCTTTCTCCGTTGTCATTTAATACCATATCGCCCCACAACATTATGCGTCAATCGTTTTCCAACTCTTCCATTAAAATCACCTAGAAGCACCACTTCTTTGCGATTTCCAATCCAGCAGCATAGTTAGTTTCTCTAAAAATATATCTTTTTCTGCAACACTTGCATCGTCTCTTGGAGCATAAATTCCTATTATAAAACATTGCGTCCTCTTAGTACAAGTTCAAAACATGCCATTCTCTCATCAATTGCTACCCAGCTATAAATATTTTTCTCCAATCTTTTATGTACAGCTATGGACACTCCTGCTCTTGCTCGCTTTTCTTTTCCCACTCCACTAAAAAAGTGAACATAATTTCCTTTCCTTTCATTTCCATTTCCCTTCTTTTTTGTTTCACTCAACACTATTATATCCATGTTAAACTCCTCTATTGCGTTAAAAACTTCATTTACTTTAGTTCTTAAAACTTGAACATTAAGGGTCTCCAGCCACAACAATCAACATCAGATGTTCCCCCAAACATTTTACATATGATGTTCGTATCCGAAACTTCTTCCCGTGAAATTCTCAAAATAATCCATAGAATAACTATTTGGCCAGTTTAGGTGAATTTTCGGATTGTTTGTTAAAGACTTGTGCGCCCGCCATTATACAAATATTTACTCACCTTTTTTATGTATCCTTATGCCCAGGAAGTTTTCCAAATATTCATAAAAAAGCTAAGGTTAAGCCACTTTTCAAAAAAGGGACCAAAAATTAAATTGAAAATCATCGGCCAATTTCCCTTTTGTTGGATTTTTCAAAAATATTAGAGCCTTTTTTATGTACCAATGGAAACGTTTGTTAGTAAACACGACGCGTTTTCATTGTCAACATGGGTTTCGAAAATCAAAATTTACGGAAACAACCTTGTTTTTTTCTTTAAGATGTCACCTCATCCATGAATCAAAACGAAGCACTTATTGGAATATTTGTAGACATTTCAAAAGTTTTGGACGTCTTTGATCATAAAATTTTACTTTAAAAATTACCATCGTTTGGAATTCGGGGTACTGCTCTAAATTGGTTATGTTCGTACCTTAATCAACGATACCAGAGAGTAGAAATACATTATTAAAATAATGGAACATTATGTTCGCACCTTTCCGATCCCTTGGCAATTGCATGTGGAGTCCCGCAGGGATCGATTTTAGGCCCTATATTATTTTCCTACTGTACGTAAACGATATGCCTTCGGTTAGTAAAAACAGTTATCAGTGGATGATACGAATATTCTCTGCAAAGAAAGAAACCGTATAAAGTACAATACCAGATATTTCAAATTGGTTCCATAATAATAAATTAATGATTAATGAAAAGAAAACTGTTTCAATGCAGTTTTCCAATTCAAATAAACATCTCTGCACTTCACTGAGAATGAACGGTGGGCCAATGACTGTTGTTAAAGTAACAACATTTTTAGGTCTTTCAATTCCATCAAACCTTAAATGGAACATCCATTTAAATGAATTGAACACTAAATTACGTTATTTACGCTATGCTTTCAGAATTCTTTCAAATTCAGACAGCCTCCACACTGCTCGTTGTGTATATTTCGCAAATGTTCATTCCCCCCTGAGATATGACATAATACAATGGGGAAATAAATCTTATAGCACTCAGACGTTTAGATAACATAAAAGAATTGTACAAATAATAAGCAAATCCCACCCACAAGGTATTTGTAAGCCTCTCTTTATTAATCTAGATATCAAACCATTATCTTGTCTCTTGATATATGAATCAGTGTTTTTTTCAAAAATGACTTAAGGGCGGGAATATATTTTTAGCAAAACGCTGATATATGTAACTACAATACTCGACGTAGTAATCAGGTGACAGTATCAACAGCTCACTACAAAAAATCCACATATAACACATAAACATTATTATACATCCCCTTGTCAGATGACATGAAACGTTAAAATTCGTTACAAAAGTCCGAACTTTTCTGCTTCACAAGTGTTTCTATGCAATTAGAGACCATACACAGCATCCAAAAGGAAAGTAATATTAATTTGAACGACAATTAGGGTATTATTAACCACATTTATTTTGGATTGTAAAGAACCTGTAATAAGTATTGCACTTCAGCTCCTGGGTTAATGGCCACATCTCTATTAGGTTTTCGGGCAATTTCCCTGATCCTTGAGCTAAGGCTGAGATGGCCCCTTATTTTGCTTCTGGATATAAATGTAACTTCAATTTAACTTCTTCTCATAGCATGTTACACACAGTTTTAACTGTTTCTGACGGAACTAAGTAACTAAATAAATAAAGTAATTAATTAACCCCAACGCTGCGTACGGTGGTAATATAAAATTAGCGTGATAAAAAGTTCGGACAATATTTTCAAAAGTAAATTATAGTTTAAATTCATTTAATCATTTCTGATATCCTTTTCATTGACTTCTGTTATGTGAGGGGTTTTTCTCGTAAATCATAATTGGGATACCTGCATATATTTCATTAATATCAAGCAGAAATTATACGACAAGTACTAGTTTTCTTTTCAAACAAATGTACATGACCGGCTTTATTTAATGAGATGATTTTTTAGAACATAAATTGTTTAAGACCAAAATCTCAATCTTCTATTTTGTAGTTTCTAAATGTTCAGTTTTTTGCAAATGTCGAAAATACGGGTATTTTAAGGAATATGAGATTTGCGCAATTTTATTTAAATATTTTCCTTTCCTTGGGAGAATTTTTAAAATTTTGTTTGAAATTGCATTACAATTTTTAGAAATGACTCATTTTGAACTCTTGGAATTTTACAAAAAATCAAGAAATTCAAAGAAAAGAAGATCTGTTCTGTACCGTTAAGAGTTCATTACGATATCTGACATCATGGCACCCAAAAAAGGGCTTCATGTAAAGTACTCTCAAAATTAAAATATCGGTTGCAAATGGGTGCCAGGGTGCGCGACGTCAGCCAGGTGAAAAAAGGAACATCAATTTTGGAGAAAATCAGCGGAACGGTTTAGGCGCTAGCGTTGACCACAGACGGACGGACGGACATTTTGCTGTCAATCGACTTTCGGGAGACAGAAAAAAATCGAAGTTTGTCATTTTAAAAATATAAACATAGTTTCTTCAAAGTAATGTTTCTATTATATGTCCATGTTTCTACTGTGCTTCAATTGTATTTTATTAAAATTCATAAAAATATCCCGCATTAGATTAAACATTAATTGTAATTTAGATAGAATATTTCTGTAGAAGTGAAGAGAATACGCAATGCGAACGAAAAGCTTTCTGATAAAATATACCCACCCCTACTGCAGTACCTAAAGCTTCCTATTTATTTCTTATTAGACGAAGTGAATATTTCGAACTCCTAGCAATCGGAACACTGATTTCGTGGCAAAGATCGCTACATCGTGAGATCCGGGGGCTGCCGTGTGGCTCTCCGCTCCAGTGAGATCACGAGTGCGTCAACGTCTGAGGCCTGGTCCCGTAAGTGTCCTGAATGGCATTCACCCCCACGTGAGATCCGGCGTGTCTCTACTCCTTGGTTCGTGGTGTTTTCCGCGCCAGATATCTTCCTCGGTGAAAAACCGGACTTGCTGGGACAAGCTACAGGCTGGTCTCCCGACATGTGAGGTAGTGTTGTGCATGAGAGAGCGAGTGTGAGTACGGTGATATGGTGAGAACGAGGATGCGGAAGAACAGATGGCTCGCGGTCCATTGCCCGGTTCTAAGATACGGTTATGGCATTCTTCAGATATTATTCGTCAAATCATAGAAGCCTACCGTTATAATTGTAATTCGACTAAAGTTGATCGGAGAAACGACGGAAAAGTGTGGATGAAACGGAGTTGGCGTCAGCGCGCGGCGGCGCGCGTGCGTGAGGTCCGCGGGGCGTCTTTGGGCGGCGCGGTTGCGAAACCTCCTCCCTCACCAGCGCGGCGGCGGCGGCCCCGTCCCGGCCCCGTCTCGGCCCCGCCTTTCACCCGGCGCTGCGTCCGCCTGCAGGGGGTATAAATGGCGCGCCCCGCACTCAACGCCATCAGTCGCCTGCATCTCCACCCGACACGCCACCCGCCTCGCCCCGCCCCGCCCCGCTTCACCATGAAGGTTCTGGTGAGTGCTGCTCTCGCTTGCTTCTCTGAGCCGATCTGAGCCATTCAGCGGCACTTCACATTAGTTCATTTTCACAAAATAGTACTTCGGAGAAATTGTAAAAGGATGTCGGTCAATTTTCCTTTTAGAAGTTTCCATGACATTTTTTCTGTATAACCACAAATTTGAAATTGACGGATAAAACTTTATTATTTTCAAAACGTTTTGGTCATGTCTATTTTCTTATAATTTCAAGTTTTCCTTTTTTGAGATTTTTCAAAAATTTATGTTCAGAAACGTATATTTGAGGACAATACTGAGAATTATTTTTATCTTCTCCGAAATTCTTGAAATAAAAGCAGTTGAATTTACAAAAATTGTGAAACAAAGAAAGGCGTATTTTACTACAATGTGTTTTTGAATATAATTGTTCTGAGCAGAATTTTTTTTTTTTGATTTTTTAAAAAATTTCTAAAATTTTTTATAGTAGACATTTGAGATGGATTAAAAACATACGTTCCTTTTAAATCTGTCATTTACAAAATTAAGTTCTAATTATTAGATCTTTAATTTTTTTCTCCACAGTTTTAAATCATATCCATTACTTAAATTCTGGGCTATCCGGGAGGCACCGCGTCGTTGCCTGAGGCCGACGTTTCGCCCGCCTGACCTGTCGCAGGCTTCCTCAGGGCAGTGAGTTGGCCCTGAGGCAGGACATCGGCCTCTCAGCCAACGACGCGGCGCCTCCCGAATAGCCCAGAATTTATGGATGCGAAGCGGAAGCTTACGAGTGTATATCCATTACTTGTTTTCTCGAGGAAGTAAAACCACAAGCAATTTTGTTCTGAAATACTTTTTCTGTAAACAGTTCAAGAACTGTATATGAAAAAAATTAGGTAATCCGCGATCTTACTACCAGGAAAGTTTCAAATCCACTTAAAAAATTAATAAAACGGAAAAACGCAAATAGTCACCCATAGTATTTGAGTCAATTTTCCTTTTACATGTTTCTATGGCATTTTTCTGTATTACCAAAACTTTTCTTTTGTAATACCAAATTTAGACATCGAAGTTATTGTATTTGTGACTGGAGACGAAACACGCGCTATTTGGCGCGAGATCACTTACGTCCATACAATCGGCCACCATACGTCTGGCCATTCGGAGCGTTCTTCAGGGCTGATACGATTCCACTCACGTCGCCGACCGTCGCGTGGACAGTCGAGAGCTGTCACGTGATCCCGGTCGCGGAAGTCTGCACTTTCGAAGTTACTCTTGAAAAAGGCGATCGACATCATCTCAGACCTCTATGTATCAAGTTCGTTAAAATGGAGAAACGAGAGAATTAACAAATACTGAGATCATTTTTATTTTGAAAGTGATTTCTAGCGATCTAGCTCAGAGAATTGAAACTTTGCAAAATTTCAAATAATGAAATTGATAACATTGAAACGCGCCAGGGTTGGTTGCAAGTGCGAACCAAAATGTAGTTATAGAGATATTTGTGCCTCATGCTGAGTTGATTATGTTTGGCGGCAAAATAGGTGGCTAGAATTTAGGCTTCTTTTAGACTTGTTCGATTTGCAGTGAATGTACAATCCGTCAATATAGTAAACGCTATTTTCATGTTAACGTTTGAGGTTCTTGTGAAAGGTATACTTATGTTGATGTTAACAAGGATATTTCCTTCTTGTTTTTCCGTTGATTTTTGCCTTCATTTTCGTGAAAAATAATATGCGACTTCACCTAAATATCACTTTAATTTTTTTAATTGCTGATAAGAAAACATCAAGTTATACTTTGTATATTTTTAAGTTCATTAACAGGGTAGGAGGGCTTACTACAACATTAGTAGTTACAAATAGGTTATACATCGGAAATAGTATTTTCAGAAACAATTCAATTAACATATTCCCGGTACAACTGAAATGTAAACTCAGTAGATTTTCCCCGTTTCCGTCAACGCAATTATACATTGCAATATCCTTTCTTTAGGAAGATAATTATTGGAATTCGAGAGAATTTTACGCTTTCCGTAAAATACTCCAAATTACCTTTAAAAACACGTTTCGCCCCAAAATTCGCAACAAAAAAATAATGATTGCATTCTCGAGTCCCAACAATTCAATTCAAGATAACATGAAATGGCGGTAATTTCGCGTTTGTCGCGTTGCCTGTCGTTACGAAAATCTTACGAGCCACTATGAATGCGTCTTTAGAATTCGTTTGGAAGTGGGACGGCGCGCGCCTGGGCAAGGTCGAAGGCCCGGCGCTTTTTCCCAGCGGCCGAAAGGGAAAGCTTTTCCCAGGATAATTGAAGGTCGCGCCGCGCGGCGCGTGGCGAGGGGAGGGGGAGGGGGAGGGAGCCCCCACCCACCTCGGTAAGAAGCGGCGGTCGTGGCCGGCGGCGGGAAAGGAGCGGCGCTTCCTGGCTGCGCCAGCGCACGCACCCCGCCCGTTGCGGCGACGCGTCCGCTTTTTGTGCGAAACGCCGCTGCCCCGGTCTCGCATGGGTTGAGGTGACTTGGGGCTTCCACTCATGGCAGAGCAACTCCACTGATAATTCGAAACCGACCTCTCGGATAACTCTGGTTCTTTGCGCCAGAGAGTAAACCAACCCCTGTTACCACTGTGTTCGTCGCGATTGGAGTATGTGATGGGGGATGTTGTAACAAGTGTTCCATTTTTACGACTACACTTACATTGAGGATGTTGCCGTATTGTCTGAATATGGAACCATTGCCTTGTTTTATGTCAGTGCCATTAGTGACGTGATACTCGACCGTTGCGAGAGCTCGACTTGTACATTGATTTGCGAATATATTCCCATTCAAAACTTTTTTCGTATTTTGTACGTACATATCTAAAAAACAATTTGTTCATTCCAAATATGTTTCGTACTATATTCGCTGAACAAGTAATTTGTCCTGTACGAGATTTTTTTTGCGATTCGTTCTTATAAAGTCGTCCATTAACTGATTCTTAGATGGCGAACGCTCTTTTAAAGAAACATGTTAATAGTGATTCCTTCATTACAGATCAGTCTATTGAGTGAATCGTTCGTTAAATGATTAGTTCATTAAGTAACTCGTTCGTTTGTACATTCGCACAATTCTTAACTTGTTTTTTGGTTGTTGATTCGTTCAGAAAATAAGATGATTCGTTCATTGCATGAATAATTCAATGAGTGATTCGTTCATTGAGCCACTCGTTCGGTTGTAGGTTCGCACACTTCTTAATTCGTTCGTTGGGTGATTCGTTCAAGATATGATTCGCTCGCATGGCTGGGTGCGCAGGCTGTTGCTGTTCTGTGCCTGGCGGCCGCCGCGTTCGCCGAGGAGCCTGAGAAGAAACAGGAGAAGCGCGGCCTTCTGGGCCTGGGCTACGGTGGCTACGGCCACGGCCTGGGAGGCTACGGAGGCTACGGTGGCTACGGCCTGGGCGGCTACGGAGGCTACGGTCTGGGACACGGCATCGGCTATGCCGCCGCCCCCGTCGCCGTCGCCGCCCCCGCCATCGCCCACGCCGCCCCCGTCGCCGTCGCCGCTCCCGCCGCCGTCACCACCGTCTCCAAGGTAAACGAGAATCCCTCTTCCATGAACGTGGTAGGTCAGTGGCCGCACGCCCTCCGTCTCGCCGCTTCCTTTGTAATGCCGACGTATACAACACATACTGTTTAAGTTGTTCAGACAACACCCTTGTCGAGAATCGAGCCCGGGTATTCACTCAGCTGCTTGGAAAACAGCTACTGAAAGGACCATTCGAAAGGATTCTTAGGAGTATTGCCCGTTATGTGACATTACGTAATTGCCTATCCAACATAAGACATTTTTTAAAATCCCTAAAATTTCAGAAGCGTCTATCCAATTCAATATGTAATTTCTAATCTGTCATATTTCCGTGCAATTCCCTATCTAACAAGGTGACAATTGAGTATAAATACTCCTATGGACGTTGGAAGCGGCTGTGGTAGTCTGTGTAGTTGTGAGTACTCAATTTTGGACTTCGTTAATTGGAAGGACCCAGGTTCATTCAGGGTCCATTTGCAGGGGCAGAATTATCGACATCACATAAATAAGTAGATCTAATTCAGCCTGTCCGAAGGAGAATTTTAGCGACCAGCTGCTATAATCGGTAATTTTTCATGGTTTCTTCGCACAACACCGGGCGAATGCCTGAACAGTTCTCTAACAAACGGGCACGGAGACACACGAGACGAGCGTTATTCTTCGTAGCACGTCAGTAGCATGTCAGTAGCACGTCAGTAGCAGCGTCATAGCACGTCTCGTGAAATCTCTTTGTTTCAGAGAAAGTATGTGCCAAAGGCAGGTGCGCAATGAGGTGCTTATCAGAGGCAAATGTCACACACGGAACTTCATTAAACGAGATTACCTCCCCTTTTTCTTGGCCAAAAGTGATCAAATTCGACATATTCTACATGTCTCAGACCTTTGTAATATTTATTCTGAATCTCACTGTGTATTGTTTAAACCATGTATGGCCCAGAAGAGTTGTTGGCGGGTTCGCAGCTAAAGTCGTGTGTTGAGAGACTTGAGATGCGAATAAAGTGTGCTTCTTCCACTGTTCGAGAATGACAGCGAGAGTGGCTCTTTTCTACAGGTGAGCTACGGCACCACGCACATCGCCCCCGCCCCCGTGGCCGTCGCCGCCCCCGTCGCCAAGGTGGCCGTGGCCGCCCCCGCCATCGGCTACGCCGGTCACGGCCTCGGCCTCGGCGGCTACGGAGGCTACGGTCTCGGCCTGGGACACGGCATCGGCTACGCCGCCCCCGCCGTCGCTAAGGTAACGCCCCACTAGGTCGTTAAACTCCCAATCAATAAATTCAGTTTATTTTTACTTTCTTGTGAGTTCTGCATATCAAAAAATGAATTGTCAAAATGTCTGTCAACCCGTCCGTCTATTCATCTGGCAGATATTATGCCCCCATGAATTTGAAACCGGTATTTTAATTCTGAGAGTTACTTTACACAAAGCCCGTCTGGCATTTTCAAACAAATGACTGCATCGTTTATTATTAAATTTTGTTACGATGGATATATTAAAACAATTGATGCTGATGCAACACGTTTTCGAATGGAGGTAATTATGGGAGGGAAATACGGAAAGACAAACCGGTCCAAGTTAATATCTAGATTAATAGTAAATATGTAAATCTAAATCAATCAAATTGGGTAAAAAATAAAATATTGTGTGAATCATGGGCATTAATTGGTTTTTATGATTTCGGGTGCCAAAAAGCCCCCGGAAGAAAGGCCTTCAGGCTTCTGTCCCCGCTCGACCATTAAGAACCGTTATAGCACCCTTGGTGCATAAATAGCTATATTTATAATACAAATGTGACATTTTATTTTGAGAATAGGGAATGTTGCGATACGAGGCTGACAGGCCGAATGGCGCAATTCAACGAGCTAAATAAAGTCACTTTTACCACTTGGTTCGTGCACTATTTATTAGCCTTACTGACTTTCTCTTTATTTTAATTAAGTATTCAAATAACCTAAGTGGATACCATGTTACATTAACATCAGTTGTAATCTACCATAGGAAAATATTGTATTTTCTTTGTTGCATTCACAGATTTATCTGCGCACAAACAACAGTTTAAATTCATCAAAAGATTTCAATGAGATTAATTAAAAAACATGCCCTCTCTCATATATTGATATTCTTTCCCTCTTAGAAATTCTTGAAAGCACATGCACATACGAGTCAAAAATATTATTGCACCGTTATAAATTGAAATAAAGATTTTTTTTAAATATTGCAGCGCTTCATCGGATAACCGCGCCCTCTGTCAGAAGTCACTCTATTTAAATAGGGGTATAAGGAAACTTAGGGCCCCTACCGGATAGAAGTAACTTCATAAATTCTTAGAAAATATGTATATTATCAATTTATTAACATATTAACATAATTGATAATTAATCTCTTAAGGATACGAGAGCTCGGTAATCTCAAACTGTTTTGGTTCCAGGTGGCTGTGGCCGCACCCGCCATCGCCGCCGCCCCCATCGGCTACGCCGGTCACGGACTCGGCCTGGGCTACGGTCTGGGTCTGGGACACGGCTACGGCTACCACGGCTGAGCAACTCATCCCCAACTCACCCCGCCTCACCCCGCCTCGCCTCGCCTCGCCTCGCCAGCCGACAGCGCGGCCTCGTGGCACGCGCCAGCGGCACTCGGCACTCTGGACCGTCGTAACTTATTGAGCGGAACGGGAAGACGATCAGTCGCCCAGAATGCTTTTTCACACTGCGCCACAGAAAATTTCATTTTACATTTTGACTTCGGTCGCACTTCATTGAAAATAAACAGTTTTTTATACAAATAATCTGTCTACTGTTATTTGTGAATCATGAATTTTAAAAATCCATGACCTGCATTCCCTTTCTTATTCATTATAAATAATTATAGGATGCCAACATCTACATAGGATGCCAAACATTTATACACTCTTCAAACAAATGAAAAGCTGTCGTAATATAACGCAAATCATTTTACGTGACGTGCTTGACTTACTTGACATAGACCAACTTGACTTTTACATGTACCCAGACATACATATATGGACATGACTTTTACAGGTACAAACTGTATAGCAAATACTCCATATACCCAATATCGGCATACTGAGTAGTCCTACTCAGAATGAACTCAGTTCGAGGATCATTTGTGAGTGTCCTAACTGATTGCAACTCATACCGTTTCAATGTAATCCGAAAGTGGTGCCTGTGTAGCTGGTTTTTAATGGTTTACTTCCTTAAGATCCTTACCTTAAGGCTTCTCCAACGTAGGGTTAGATCTGGAGACCGCGGTGATAACACAGACCTTTGCGTCATTAACTACTCATACTTTTGAAAAAAGCTGAACATGACCTTAATTTAAGATGTCTTTAAGAAACATATTTTATTGACGAAAAATATGTCTGTTCAATATTATATTTGTAGAAAGACGCCGAAAAATGTTGAATTTTTGTAATTTTCGAAAAATCAGAAATTTCAACGCAAATGAAACCTGCAGCATTATCTTAAGCGATCATTCCCTATCCGAGGACAAAGCTAAATCCAAACCAGGGGTGTTAGAGAATGGCATAGACTTTCCCGTATTAGTTTTCTATTTCCTTTGGTCTCCGATAGTTATTTTTTACATGCAACGTACTCTTGGCAGTTGCCATTTTTTGACATTTTCTCAATTTTTTGTTTTTCTAATGGTATAAGAGAAACTTTATTTTAAGAATATTAAAGAAAAGTAAAATCTCGTCCAAAATGACAATTTTCTTTGAAAAATTTGGAGACCTTTAAAAAAACAATTTTAAGCACATTAACTCATACATGGAATAATGTTTACACATTGCTGAAAATTAACGGCGTGAGAGATATTTAAGAAAAAATATGTTTGTAAAATTTTTGAAGGAACAGTAGAATAGAGCAAAATTAATTTTGTCATCTTAAACAGTGCAATTAGCACCATCCGTTGGAAAAATTTGAAAAACAATTGGAGTAATTTTTGAGAAAATGTCGTTTTGGTGTTTCTCAAAATGCGAAATGTGAGCTAATTTTGACAGAAAACTTGAGTTTTCAAAATAATGTATTGGACATTATTTAAAGCACATGTACTCATAGATTCATTAACGTGAACAAATTTACGCTAATGCAAGTATTATCAACGTGACAGACAAGTCAAGAATTATATTTTTGTAGTTTTTGAAAAAACAACAGAATAGAGCAATGTGGCGTTTATGTCATCCTATAGAGTGTATTTAGAACTATCCCTAGCAAAGTTTAAAGAAAACATTTGGAGCAGTTTTCGAGAATAACTTGTTTTTGTAATTTTTTAAAAATTGCAAATATTGCACGCAATATTGCGTTAAAACTACTAAAAGTTTCAAAAATGTACAGGATATTAATGAAATAACTAATTATGGGCATCAAATTTTATATGAAGAAAAACTGCCTATCTTCAAGTCAATCCTGTAATTGTAGGAAGACGCGAAGATAATAAGACACCCCTCGAGGGGTGGGCGAGAAGGAAGTGGCATTTAAAAACATCAATATTCAATCCACCATGCACGTACAACGTTAATGCGTGATGAGCGTGAAGGGTGAGTGCCCTGAGTAGATGATTGTTATAAATAATTACATGGGCAACGCCGAATATTCACTCGATTAAAGTGTATGGAGGCTATTGTACTATACCTGAGTAATGCCATGTGGATAAGGTTCGATTTTCGATAATTCCAGAATTAGTCGGTTCACGTTTTCGTTGTGGAATACTAGTAGGTAACTTGTATGAAACGTTTCGAAACTTACATTAGAATAAAACCGGCTGAAGTTCACTTTAGTCAACACTAAGTATATGAAGTACGTTACGATGATGAGAAATAACAGATGCGTCATAAACAGGAATCAGATGAGAGTTGTCGAGGGGTATTGAGAGAAGATATGTAGTTTTAAGAATTTTGATTCAAACAGCCAGGCAACGCAGTAAAAGACGTCAATTGAAATTTATTTTTGGTCCTATATAATCCTAGTAGAAGTACATAACATAAATCTGCAATTTTGTATATTTACGATGCATATTTTCACTATTAACTTTCTGTCACAAATGTATCAGATATGATCAAGATTATTAAAGAAGTTAAAGGGCAGGAATATCACATAAAATCATTATTAAATGACAAAATAAAAATATTACCCTATCTCCTGAAACGTATTGAATAATTTTTTAGACACTTTTCAAGTAACAATCGACTACTCCAACTACAATATCTTATTGCTTATACACTCATCAATTATAACAAGAACGAGGTTGTAGTAAGAAATATAGTTCTTCACTGTGTAAATATAACTGATGTTAAAGTTGTATTTCTGTCATTAGGTCATACTGTCAGAAATATAATAAATGTTCGTCATAAAGTAACAAAAAGACATCTTTCACTTATCTCTCGTTGATATAGAACTTCAAAGTAATAACAAAGACATACTTGTATTCCATATCTTCACGCTTCTTAATACCGTTGTTAATTTTGAGCCACCCAATATGAAAAGAGAAATAGTACAATGTAAACGCTGCCCAAGTTATGAACACACCAACGCACACTGTAACGATCCTTTTCGTTGTGTTAAATGCAATAAGTATCATTCTACCGAAGAATGTAAGGAAAACACGCGAACCCCTCCATCATGGGCCCTGTGCGATGGCACGCGCCTTTCGAACCACAAGGGCTGCACTGTCCAACAAGAACTACTAAAGACAAAAGGACACTGTAAACAAAATAGCTACCTTAGATATTCCCAGAATGAAATGACATCTCAATATTATGAACATATTTACTCACAAAAGAAACGACAAAACACGTATGCAATGTCACGCGACCCTAGCAGGTACATCAAGATGCAAACCAACACAATGATCAATAATCTATTCTGAGTATCATTCGATATTGTCGGTAAATATACGAAAATGTCTTACTTCAATACAACCAACAAATATTCTCACTTCTCAGTCTTACGTCTTCATTAGTATCCATTCTTTCAAGTAGGTGAATTTTATCGTAAAGCTATGTGGAATGCCAACGGGTAGGCGTGACATTGTCAAGAACTTGAAATACTTATTTCCCAAAACAAAATCGATATTCTTCTAGTCTCAGAAACACATTTCACAGACAGAAACTACTCTAAACTCAAAAATTATTTTATTTATGATACTAAACATTACGATGGTCATGCACACAGGGGCACTTCTATCATCTTAAAAATGCATAAAACATCACGAAGAAAATAGTTTTCTAGATATTGATTTACAATCCACAACCATAAATTTTAGTGACTGGAGTGGGCCTCTTACAGTAATTGCCCTATATTATGTATAAAGATTTAACATAAATTTTTTTTGGATCCTTCTCTAACAAATTAGGCTCGAAGTTTATATCAGGGAGAGACTTCAATGGAAAACACACCCAGTGGGTTCACAGAGGTAGCGGTCGAGACCTCCAGGAAGCAGTGACGGCTCTTCATTAGATACGATTTCCACCACAGAAACAACATACTGCCCTACGGAGCCAAATAAAATGCCAGACTTACTTGACTTTTTTGTTCTAAAATGTATTTAATGTTTACTAATATTATATATACTTTAATGTGGTTACTAAGCATCGTATGAACTTATCATACATAGTCACCGTTAGTACTGACTTACTTGTAAGCCCCACTCCTGTGGTTCTCACTTGCAGAACTGGTGGTGCTACCGAATGGCACAGTCTTATCCGTATTAGTTTTCTATTTCCTTTGGTCCCGGCTAGATACTCGGATCTCAGACTTGCCATCTATCGCCACTCAAAGTACATTTTTTACAGACTTTCAATTTTTGGGGTTTCTACTTGTAATTGTAGAACGGAAATACTATTTTGAGATTATTAAAGAACAGTAAAACCTCGATCTAAATGGCAACTTTCTTTGAAAAATGTGGAGACGCTTGTAAGAAATCAACATTTAAGCAATACTGTAAATTCGAAATTTGACCTGCTTTCAAATAAAACTATTTAGTTTTCGAAAAACGTATTACGAGGGCATTTCAAGTACTTCCAGTCACAAATGCAATAGTGTTTACAAATCGCTTGAAATGTGCATATCAACGGCGTGAGAGATCTTTCAAAAACATTTCATTCGTGTAATTTTTGAAAAACATATGAATACAGCAAAATGAATTCTATGTTATCTTACACAGTGCAATTAGCAGTATCTGTTGGAAACATTTTAAGAAAAATTTGAAGCTATTTTTGAGGAAAAGGTGTTTGAGCAATTATGAAAATGCAGAATTTTGAGCTCGTTTTCACGGAAAACTGTTGAGTTTTTGGGAACCTTTACGTGACATTTAAAGCACACAACTTATAAATACATTGAGTAAATAAATTGATGCTAATGTAAATATAAACGATGTGACAGACAAGTTAAAAAATTACATTTGTGTAATTTCTGAAAAAACAAACGAATAGAGCAATATGACGTTTATGCCATCTTATAGAGTTCATTTAGAACTATCCTGACCAAAATTTGAAGAAAAAATTTAGTGTGGTTTTGTATAAAGTTTTGTTTTTGAAATTTTTTAAATTGCACATATTGCTCGCAATATTGCTCGAAAACTACTAAAAGTTTCAAAAAAATTTGCATGACATTATTGAAAGAACTTACTATGGATAATAAATTATATTTGAAGAAAACATTTCTATCTCCAATTTTGTAGTTGTAGGAAGAAGCCGAACAAATTTTGAAATTTTAGAAAATTTCTGTTAATCCTGAAAATTCGACCTACGCCACCTTTATGAGTGCATTT